AAAAAATTTATATCTTTATGTTTGAAGCCTGAAATGTGGCAAAAGGTTGAAAAGTTCAAGGGGGCCGAATACTTTCGCAAGGCACTGTAAATACTCTGCAATTGTCTACACTGCATGTCAGTGTAGATGAAATATTTTTCATATTCTTTGCAGTTTATAGATTGGTTGCTAGTCCTTCTGTTTTGATATTTGTGAACTAGACTAGGTCCTGACTAAAAGAAAATTAATAATACATTTCATGTGGATTTATACATCAGTTTTGAATTTTTTTATTTTACCTTTCCAGAAGGAACTGGTCAAATGAAACACTTTGTAACACAAATTGACAAAGCTATCAATTAACTCAAGATAAATGATCCTTCTTATACAGATTTTTTTTTTACATTTTAAAGGATTTAAAATCTTTAAGTCTTGTTCAAACTACACAAAATAAAATAACAATCTCAGGTTTTGAATCATTATCATAAGTAAAAGAATTCCAAGAAAGTGTGCTTTTATTAGAATTTCAAGATCGGCATTTTATACATGATTGGTCAACAAACAATTTACTATGCAAATAAATGAGAATTACAGTCAAGTGCTTTTTATTGTATTTCCATCCCACAACACATATTAAAAAATAAAATGCTGGCATCATTTGTAAAGAAAAAGAGAACAGTTTTAAAGTGAACTCAGAGGTATACCACTGTACAATCATTTTTGATCTTGAAGAATGCAAAGCAAACAAGAATAGATTGTCAGCTTGCAGCCTTGATACATTTTCCCTTATATTATTTCCAGCCTCCCGAGATTAATTTTTCACAAGCCCTTGTACTCATGTTCACAGTGTCCCACATATAAAGGCTCTGCAGGGATTCCTCTCCTGTAAAAAAAAAACCCAAGATGCAGTGAGTGAAGAGTACTGAAGTACTAATAACTCATCCAAGTATGAAGGCTTTTCCGACCAATCTCTGAATTGTCTAGTCCGGTCATTTCCACTGAAAGCCTTGGTTTCAACTCTGTTATAATTTCTTAAAATTTAGAAAGAAATAAAAATTCCAATTGAGGAAACGGTAACTAATTGGAGCCCAGCTGCACTGATTTGAACAGGGTTGCACCTGACATGGAAGGCTTTTGATGCTGTACAAAAAAAAATCTCCATAGCAACCATTGTGCTCAAAGGAAATTCAAAATACACTGGACTATCTTGCCAGTTCACTAGAGTTTTTCCATCAGTGTGGCCAATACTTACTGCACCATGCGACAGCGGTGCTGGGTGAGGCGGCTGTATGCATCACCGATGTCCTTGACATCTTTATCGCTCCACAGACGCTCGGCTACTGCACTGGCCCGAGGCCTGGGGGAAGGAAGGAGACACCACTAGTTTTATGTTGGCAATGCTTAGAAATGCAGATTTAACACCCAAAAGGAGCCAATGCATTTGTCTCTCCTGTTGTGTTAATATAAATCAAATGCCATGATTTTTTGTCAGGAGATTCCTTTTCAGCATTTAAATGTGTTCATAATAAAGTCAGTGAAATAGTATGAGAATTGAGTGAAAGTAAACTGAAAAACTGATGAAGGAAAAATACATTTGAGGGTTGCTGTCAATACAACCAAGAAGATAGAAGGGTTTCACTCTTTTACATTGCAAATAAATCATTAACTCATCAATTAGCGCCTTCTATAGTGTAGCCAATGACTGGAATTAGATCATGGCCAAGTGAACAGTACTGTGTAATGAAATGTTTATTGTAACATGTAACTTGAGTATTAAGATGCAAGAAAGAGGGATTCTTGCTTTCTTACCAGAGTCTTGGGGTGAGGTTTGTTGCGTCCACATATTCTCCCCAAAGACAGGCCTCTCCTCCAACTACCAGCTTCTTCTGTGCCTCAGTCCCTAAGAAAAATGGAAAGCAAAATACAAGATCATACAGTAGTATGCACATTTTTTACAGAAATTAGTTATAACAATTACAGTGTCATCTTTCTTCCTACAATTAGGATTAAAGAATAAAAAAGGGCAAGCAATGAATTACTGTATATAACTGAATTGAAAAGGCTGTTGGGAAGCTGGTTCCCTGGTACTGGGCACTGGGGTGGAGGTCTTGCACACACCGTTAAAGCTGTACGGATCGGCTCTGTACATCTGCTGCCAGTCCTGGCCGTACGAGATTCGGTTGAGATACCAGGGCGAGGAGAGCAGGGCATGAAACCCAGCAGCTGTTATTGCTGCCATCTCCCTCTGATACTGCTCCTCATTTCCCTTCCACACTTGGATAAGGGTGTCTAGCTTTAACTAGAGACAGAGCGGACAGACAGAATTATCACAATCCCCAGACAATATGAGTGTGGATGCAGAACAATTTCATACACCATGATAAAGGCATCGTGCAAGAGTTTCAAATGTGCATGTTTAAATCGTGCATCAATCAGCCGTGCTCTGCTTTGGAAAACCGTATGAGAGCTCATTCCCTAAATGTGCTGCAGAGGAAAAGCGATTATCATAAAAGAAAAGTCTTTGAGCTCACTCCGACGTGCTGTCAAGCTGAACATGCAAGCAGCAACAGTTTAAATGTTAATGTCACCATTAAAAGAGTCTGCCTCAAAACAAATGCAGTGTTCTTTGTATTCTTATACTTGTTTTATAGTCTTGCTGTTTTTCCACATTTTCTCAGTTTTTCTGTTAATTTAGAATTACTAAATGTTTTTCAGGTCTTAGCTCTCGGATACTGTACAGAGCTCAAAACGTTAAATAACGAGGCACTCATCTTTTAACATGACACAGCGCCCAAAGCCCCATACTATGGTCCTGCAGTGATTTAAGGAGAGGTACAACTCTCACCAACAGTGTCACATGCCAGTAATTTACTAAGAGGCCTCAGCTGAGTGAGTCCAGGTACACTATTCTGCTTTGCCTCTTGGCAAAGCTAGTGATGTGACTCGGTGTCAAACACACAAATTAAACTGCAGCCTGGCAAGTGCTTCAACTGGTTTAGCCACTTGGATGACATTTTTTCTAGCTTATTGTTCACATTGATACCCTCTCAGTTTACAATTGTCCATTTTCCTAGTACTGCATGGTAAGATTGGATGGACAGATAAGCTCCTCTATACTGGCCACCTAAAAAAAAATCCGTAATTTTTTACAAGTTGCAAGCTCCACAGGGCCATATAGGCGAGTTAGTGCTGACTGGAGCAGCAGCACACTCCTTACTGAGGTTACTGCAAACCTACAAAGAAAAGACCAGACGGCCAAGCCTAACCCCAACCTTATGTTAATGACATGAGTCAGTTTCAGACCTGCAACACATTGGCCATAAAGCTAAACCCACACTCAGAGTGAGCACCTATACTGTCTTAGCATATTTATTACCCCTATTTTCCTTCATTTTAACACACTTGCTTAGTATAGAAAAATAAAAAAGGGCATAATCCACTACATTTTCATAGTATACAGCTCACTACAATAAAACTCATACAGACTATCATATAGTTATAAATACATATTTTAAGGTATTTTATTGGTTAACACATACAGTTGATTAATCTCTTCCCTTCTTACTGCATTGGTTGTCAATGTCAAATGTGATTTCTTTCACAGATATGCTTACATTTTACAGGTTTGTTAAACAATAGATTCTCTCAAATTCTGCCAAGAATGCATTAACAGTAAAATGTTGGCTTCAATTTTAAACTGGGCACTTTGAGAAGTTTGAGAGCTAGGTGCCCGTTTGCAATCTCCCTATGTAGGGAATTTCCTTGAAAAGCACATTTTCTATAATGAGACAAATATGCTGCCATACATCTGCAAAACAGATTATTTCCAGATCAACTTGCATATTAGAAAGCATAAAAAAAAATAAATTGCCTGGAAAGTTTCATGTGACAAAACAAATCCCATCATGTGGTGGTTTTTATTTGATTTACACGATCTTTCCTCGTAAAGACAAATTATCTCTGGAAACTCACTCAAGGGAAAGTGTGTTTAACAAATTGGCATGAAAAATAAAAGATAAAACAACTAACCCTCAAAATCAAGAGGCTCAACTTTGTAGTACCTCTGCCAGTCCTGGCCATAGCTAATGTAATCTAGGTACCAGGGGGCAGACAGAATTGTTGTGAACCCAGCTCCTGTTACTTTTTTGAGTTCTTCTTCAAGCTTATTCCCCATCCACACTTCCACTACAGTATCTGGCTTTATCTGGAATGATCAAAAGGTAAGGCATGTTTATTTTATTTTTTTGCATCACAATAGTCATACCAATATAAGGACAATGGCAAGACAGTAAGCTTTTTTGGGTCATCTATCCATTTTTTCCCCAAAGGAAATTAGCTGCTGCACTTGACAGAAGCCAGTAAAGCTGTCCAGTACCAAGTTGCAGGATTTGTATTTTAACAATACTAGCAAGTCTAAATTGGAATACTATTTTTAGCTTACAATTCTAACCTATCAGTTTAAGCACTCTTTTAATATTGACAGCGATCAGCATCATAGCCATCTTTTCTAACATGCACAATGACTTTGACAGAGGTTAGTTTATTCAGACATCTCCAACCAAGAACACGATATTTAAGATTTAACAACTTAAAAATCTACTTTATAGTGAGAAACATGCATAGCAACAACAGTCCAGCTACTTTTCCAACTTACCTTCACTCCATTGTCAAATACCTCCTGCCAAACCATGTAACCTTTCTTGGTGCCAGCAACAATTTCCAGGATCCTACAGTTAGAAGTATATATCTCAATAGAACAAGCAATGAATGCAACTATAATTAAAAAAAATGCAGGAAAATAAAGCTTATTTGCTTTAGTTCAAGAATATTTACATTTTGATTCCAAACACCGCTAGTGTGCGTCACATTGCTACACTAGGCTATGTCGAAGATGCATAAGTGATTGTCACCATTCCTCAGTTAGAGTCACAGTCTGTTGCTGCTCTAATATTGTCACAGAATATAAAAGCTACACTTTCCACCACAGTCCTTGATCATAAATATGGCAGTAAATTACAAATACCTCTTTCTCAGTGTCCCATACAGTTTCAAGTGCATCATGGACATGTCAAAATAATTGATTTTATCACTTACTTCTGAATGTAGTAAGACTCCAGCTTACTGTAGTCCTTGCCAAAACCTTGTGTATCCATGAATTTTTGAATGTCAGGATTTGATTTCCTGTGGGGAAAAAAAGCTGGGTGTTTGTCAATGTGACATTGAAATGAGTATTTCAGCATTTCCCTTTAATACAGCTTAATGATCTAAATAAATCTACAGTACGTAAGAACAAGAGAAAATTATTCAGTCCATCCAGACCACTTGGTAGTTGTTTGTTACTTTTCCACAACACTAAAAAAGTTTTAAGGTTTCGGTTATCTTAGATCGGATGAAATGAATGTAGATCAAACATCAGCCGGTTTCAGATTTTCCAGTTCTTATGTCAATAAAATTAACTTTTAAAAGAAAAAGGGTTTTATTTTTCATACACTGCTAGAACTTGTCAAAGTGAGACATTCCTTTGTGACAAGAAGCATAACTGGTTAGTTTTCTTCAGACTGCCTGCAGGGCCTTTTTGTATTATTCTAACCAGAAGCATACAATGTAGAATGTTTGCTATTGTACTGTACAATTTTAACAGTTTGATTTGAATTATGTACCTGTCAATATACAGCTTATCCCACCATGTCACATGAAAATTTTACCTTACACATGTAGGTACATCCCCGATTTGAATGTCAGACTGCATTATTATTGATATTGGAATAAGGTGTTTTTTTATAGAAGATTTATGCATTAACATTGAGACCCTTAATTTATTTAAGTTGCATTTCTGTGGCTGAGTGTTCTTTTTGATGTGCAGTGCTATTCCTTTCTCCTCATCCTCTGTTCTGGTCTTTTTGCTGAGCTCTATCACCACAACATTCAGTTAACCATGTTTCTGTGATTTCAACAATGCCAAAACATCTTGCTGAGGTTCTAAAACTGAGAACCTGAAAAGGTAAGAGATCATTATACTTAGAAATCTCACCAGCAAGAGAAATCCACTTCATCACCACCCAGGTGAATGTACATGTCAGGGAAGACAGAGCTGACCTCTTTGAAAAACTGGGTCATGAACTCATAGGTGGAGTTCAGAATAGGGTTCACAGGCCCGAATGTTCCTGTAGGTGTGTCTCCTGCATAACAGGGAGTAAGGAGCCCTTTCTGGCCTGTGTGAGCAAAACATTTATAAAACAAGAGTGAGTCGCAACTTCAAATGTCGACGAGCAGAAAAGACAGGATGGAGTTTGAATTATTTGGATTTGCTTGAGTTGGAATACTTTGTGTATCATAGATCTGCCCTGTAGTTTAAGAACAGAATCTCAATGAATGACAAGGTTCTTCTGTATGAGTAAAACAACGTTGTGAGGTATGGATTTTCTTGGGGACAGCCGCTGGTTAGACATGGAAGTGCCTTTTTGAAATCACAAACTAACATCTGAACATTCTACCAATCAGTACTGCCAACTGTCAGTAGTTTTCTATACCCACTGTCAAAATATTAAATGAACTAACCAGTGTGATTTTTGTTTTGATTTTTGTTCTCTTGCGTATTAGCCATAATTTTTTTCTGCCCTAAACAGAAGTTTCATATGTGCCAGAAAAAGGCTCCATTTCATGAGAGGAAATCTAGGCCTCACCTAAGCCCCAAGACTGCGTGTGTCCTGGAGTGTCAAACTCAGCAACAACACGGATTCCCCTCATTCTCGCATATTCAATCACCATCTTCACATCAGTGGGAGTGTAGACATGGGTATACGGGTGATAGGATCCCTATTACAATGACAAGGAAAACTACACTTTTCATCTGAAGTTCCCAGATCCCAGTGGCAAGTTGAGAAGAAACTATACAGTATGTTCTTATAAATCTTATTCATTAAGAATGTAAGATAACCTACAATACATTCACATTCCCATATGGAAACTGACAGGTTTGTGAAACTGTAAGATACTACTCCAAGTTTAAAACAAATCCATAACAGATAAGTGAAACATGCTGAACAATTCTTGACGAACCTCTGTGCTGAGATTAGGGAAAGCCGTGCTCTGGTAAGGGAAAGAGTGGTCGTCCACAATGTGCCAGTGGAAGACATTGTACTTGTTCATGGCCATGGCATCCTGCAGGTAGAGAAAGAGCCTAATAGTCACCCTTACAAACACGTGGGGGAGTAAATCTCATGAAATGTATTGCACTGGAAATACTTTTTCCAGATCACTACCTTTTTCTGAGAGGGTGGTACTAAAAGGGTACTCAATTTTCATGCAGTCTGATATTGCAAACAGGTGTGAAAAACAGATTTCCACCCACTTGCTATGAAAAAGCCAGAGGATACATTAGAGTAAGAAAATGCAGTGCCCTAAGTGAATATTGTGATAGGGAAATCAACACTGTATACTAACAACTTCTATATACTCAAGCAATTCAGATTTTAGATAAAAAGATTGATATGAGAAAAAAAAACTCCCTATTCAGTCTCCCTACTTCAGGTGAGCATAAGTATTGGGGCAATTGCCTGGTCTTTTTTCTTTTTGTACTTTTATATTAAGGTTTTCATCTCAAATCCAAATTGCTCGAGTATACGGCAAAAATAGCCATTTTGACTTCATTGTCCCAATACTTATGACACTGTATGTCTACTCCGTTTTTGCAGATGGAAGAATGTTTGTGTACTGTAGTTAGGTAGATGGATACAGCTAACAGATTATGAGAAATTAAGATTTTTTCAATTATTATTTCCAACAAACTTTCGAAGCTCAAACTCTTAAAGGTGAATAATGTTCTTTAGACACAAATCACTAAAACATTGGTTTACAAATAGTTACAATTTTCAGGTCTGTTTCGGGCTAAAAATAAACAATTGTTTGTTGCCTGAGTATTGTAAATAAGACAAATATCAAACAATGCTAAAGGATTTTAATATGGTGCTGTTTGTTCTATGACAGCAATATCCTATGAAGAGTACATAAACACAGTTAAGCAGGTTACTCTGTGTAGATGTGCTTTTTATGTTTATGCCCCCTCAATATATTAAATAATAAAAAACCCAGAAGACTTCAGAAATTCTGAATTACATTTTCATGTTTAAATGAAAACCCCAGGGCAAAACTAAATACAAGCAGAGTACTTTTGTAAACTAGTTTCTCAAACTTGTTTCCTGTTCCCCCAGTGTCCCCTGACTCTTATTCCAGTTTAGGAATTTCAGTGTTCTTTTGTAAACCGTGTACTCTTCAGACACCAGAGTCCTCTGGTTTCAGCTTAGTTAGGTATAGAAAGATCTACCTTGACCTGACTTATTATTCATGAACCAGTGCTTTACTCACCAAATTTGCCAAGATCACTTTAAGAGGCAAGTAGTGTCGGGAAGAATCCAACAAAATGCCCCGATGAGCAAATCTTGGGAAGTCCTGAATATCAGTCTTGTTGATGTAGTTCTGTCAAAACACCAGTAGATTGAGATAATCAGTAAATTGCTCCTCCTTATCACTATGTGTACTTAAAAATGTGTTTCAAAGCTAATTATTTCATTTAAAAGCCCTGTCTTATAAACACAAAAAAGCATTCCTGATAGCATGACGTGGCAGGTTCAATTGAGCTAGCTGGGAAAAAAAAAAGTTGAGAATTGACTTGAGAAACTTACCGTTCCATATTTATCTGCATACACTAACTGGCTGAATGTCTCAAGTCCTGGAAAGAAGTTATCAGAATTACAAGCTAACCACCAAAAAGATAACATGGAAGTGATAATGTCTGTACACTCTTCTGATCGGATATACTATGTTACCTGTATATCTTCTCTTGGCCTCCCTGAGGCCAAGGGAAAATGCATGTGGATCTCCTTTTAAATTACTGGTCTTGTCAGAGAGAACTTGTGTTGAGAATAATACAGGCTCTTTCTGCAAGGTATTTTTCCAGACATTTAAGGAAAGTAACCAATTCTGAACTGTTAAGAATTGCATTTCAAATGAATATCCAAGGGGGAACATTAATGTCAAATAAATATTTACATTATGAAAAGACTAGACAAACCATGAGCTTTCAATTACCTTGCAAATAAACAAGACTGACCACACACTCAAGCATTTTGACAATATTTTCTTATTGGTTCCATTTCAAAGTTTTTCTGATTATATGGCAATGCCAAAGTGGCCTTTCAATCACCTTATCAGGTGTTCCTGCCTATGAGAAAAATTATTCCTTTCACAAGTATGGGAAAACATTAAAAAACTTTTTACATGCAAGATACTGTAATTAAGCATCTGTCTTTACCTCGCAGGGCTCCCCAGACTTTTGGAGCTTTCAAGACAGCTGTAGGCTGATCAATGCTGAGCTCATCTGAAGAAAAAAAAATTAGTTACTAAAACACATCACCTTCTTTAGAGGGTTGTCTCAATCTATACTACCTAAGACCTGCAACATTCTAGAAACCCAGTCCAATATTTATGCACTACATAGTGTTTCTATCATTGAAATTATAGGATACCACTGTTACAGTATGTATGTTTCACAACTCTATCCAAGCCCTTAGCCAATGCCTGGAATGTTACAGGACAAGTTTCAGTTACTCAATTGTCAACTTTTCCTCTAATTAATATCTTAACACTCCTCATGCAATCACCCTTACATGACCATAAGGGTAATTAAATGATTAAGATGGTGAAGATCATACCCAGAAGCTTTACAAGTAAGCTTAATATTACAGTACATTCAAGTACTCTAGTGCTATCTTTTAAATTCTCTGGCAGAGCTAAAATACATCTTTCTGGGACATAAATAGCCAAAGAAAATTCTTCTAAAGCACCACTGTAGATTTAATTTAAAAATCATAACAGGATTTATACCAACAAACTACTGTATCAACAGAATTCCAGAAAGTGAGGTAACAAAGATTCAGTCAAACCATCTAATGAACTTTATTTATTGGATTTGAAGTATTTAATTGCTCAGTCAGGGATATAATAGGGGTACCAGAAGCATACTAATGTACAGGACAGTGAAAGAAACACCTCTTGCACTGCCAAATTAATTGTATTCCATAATTTCTTTCACATTACAGTAAAAATTAAGATTTGTCCAATTGGTCACACCCAGAAATTAAGACTTAGAATCCTTATCAACCAAATTTTACAAATGAAGTTTTTTTCCAGCCTTAAAAACAAAAAAGACTCCTCTAACGAATAAGAAAATACCTGACTTGTTAAGCATTAAAATCACAGCTAAAACAATAAACTGGAATATACATTAATAGTTACCATTTTATGGGTAATTCAAATATCAAAAGGACAATAGGATATTTACTTCAGTACCATGTTTGGCAGTTTACAACCTGTCCTATGGAATTATCTATGCAATAAAAATATTAGCATGGGTTAACTGAAGTGGCTAAACATGGAACTTGACACTTACATGACTCATCAGACTTCACACTGGGGTAACTGTCACACTCTGGATTTTCTGAAGAAATCCAGACTTGCAACTCGAATACCTCAGAATCATTTGCAACCATCTTCAGATCTCCCTTCAGCTTCTTGGAGTATCCAAAGGTGTATTCAAAATACCTGCAGGATTACACATAGTTGGATCACTTGCTCTCTTTTATAAGACCAGCTAAAACTGCTTGTTTTAAATGTATTGATGTTTCAAAATTCTGCTTCTATCAACACACATATAAAGATTCGGATGTCTTTTACTCAATATGGAATTGTGAATTTACGGTAGCAATAGAAAATATAGTTTGCTGGATTTATACAACAGGGGAAAACAGGACTTTGATCATAAACTTGGATCAAACCAACATTCAGGTTTCTGTTTCACAAGTAGTTTGAGAACCTCCAACCTGACAATTTTTTTTAATCATCACACGAACTTGCACTCACTTTTCTGTTACTGTGTACAGCTCGTAGTCACAGCTGCATGTTAAATTAAAAATGAAATACTCAGACGAGGTAACCCGAAACTTTATATTACGTCACACACCAAATTAATATGCGCCGTTACATAAAAACTACAACAGCAGAAGCTTTTACGGCTGTGGATAAATTAAATCAACTAAATCACCAAACTAAGAAAAACAGGTTCTTCCCACGATTGTATTTACAATATAAAATGGCAAATTATAAGTTACCGTACTACATAGGAAAGTCGTTATTTCCTAATTTAATTGCATCATACTAGTTCCTATACATTAACGTCCGCAACAATCTGATGTAATTTGCCAGTTGCCAGGAGGTTATAGGATATTTACATGTGGCGTTTGTATTTTATTTTTCACATAGTAGACATTCCTTGTCAATACCTACTTTGAGAAAAGTTCTCCAACCTGCAGTGAGAGCCATGTAAAGATGTACTATATAAAGCTGCAACAGATAAGGAGGGCGACTTTAAAAAGACATCGATGGCTTTAATCTTACCTCCGAAAAGCATTTTGCAAGAGGAAGCAACTTGGACCAGCGGACGATTTCGGGGAATGGACTATCTGGAAACCGAAGCTGCTGACCCTGAAAGCTACAGGAGAGATGTGCACAGACTGCGGCAAGGGCCAGAGCGAGCCATATGCAGAGACCGTCAGCTTCGGGACATCGGCCAAATTGTTCTGCCAGCCCAGACAAGCGGTGGCTCCAAACAGAAGGAAGACGAACTTCACAAGCGCAGCCATCAAGCCCCAGCACAAGCGGCGTTTGAAGCGTTTTTATTCGTGTCAGCTGACAGATCACAAGACTGGGGTGCTGTTCACATGGCAAAGGGGGAAGTCCTCTTTTAGAAGGAAGTGCATTCTTCAGCCGTTTCTCTAACCTTTTATCTCGTTAGGAGTCGGGTAATTTTACTTTCGTAACAGTGATGGCACTGACACGTATCTGCTTATGTTAAAATAATCGTAGACCATTAAAATCTAGGTTTTCTGTTTTTTTTTCGTAGAATTTCAATACAAACTGCAGTCTGTCTGAACAACACTGCAATCCCTCAACAATAATGTTTACAACCCTTAGCTCTATCAGGATGATCACTGAATGACTCAAGCAATTAGGCTACGATAAAGTGAAATAAACTATTTTAGAGCATAAATCTGAATTATGTTTAGCAGTTTATGTCTCTTTGAATTTTCTTAAAGCATTTCGATTAAACGAGTTAAGCACCAGACCTGTCTGTATGACGACACAGTTGGGTAAGTAAGGCGTGTTGACAGTAGCAGTGCTGTCTTGTGACCAGAGATCATCAGAGCTCAGAAGCTTTGGGCTTGGGGTGGGACACTTATTTGGCCATAGAAGATCTAATTGCAGTTTTTGTAAGAGATGTTGGCTAAACTCCACTCCACTCTGGGTTTGCATTAATGATATTACAACCTAATATTCTCCTTAATACAACTGGAGATTTCTCACTTCTCTGTCAGATCTGCTGCGTACTTAGATTGCATGTTACCTGGGTAAGTGATGGGTGAAGTGGGTCCTTTCCCATATGTAAAAGTACTTGGGGATTCTTTGGGATCCCACAATAATAATGCAATAAATTGTTATTATGTTTCAATGGAACCAGGGTTTTGGGTTTCCCTCAGTCTTACCCCACTTTTCTTCAAACTAAAGCATATTAAGGAGTGACTTGATTATTTACATTTACATTTTAGGAGTATTTTCAAACCCTTTGTCACTTTTAGGTGTGATTTAGTTTGCAGCCCACAACTGTTAAAAGATGGATAAGACACAGTGCATGTGTCTTATTTATTAATGAAGACATGTATTAATGAATGAGAAGTCGGAAATGACTATTGTGATTCCAAATAAAAAAAACTTGAATGCAATTGAATTATAAATGATTATATTTGATTATAAATATACAGTTATTCACAATGCCATTAAATGATTATGATAATACAGATGTGCAATTCACTGGTAAAAAGTGAAATACCGTATATAATGGTTTTCATTTTACATGTGCAATATCAAAATTTGATTATATTAAAGACCATTAAGTGGAGGGTAGTGTTTGTCAACAAGTAAAACGAAACAACAGGTAAACCAAATGTCATAAAATGCAAATGGAAGCACTTCTCTTTGGCCAGTGTGATACAAAACTTTTGAATATCATCTTTGTTAGGTCAACATCAGAGAATCTTTCACCTCTCCGCCTGGCTGATATATTTTCTGATAAGTGTGATGTTGTGAAATACTACTGTTCATGCCACTTCTCTCACACATTTTCTCTTAGGCAAGTTGTATTTCAGCAATAAAGAGAAATTCAAAATGTTTATACTTATTTTCATTTCCAGCTTTCATTTTTTGATTAACATATGTACATAAGAGAAGAATGTTTACATAAGAGTAGGTTCTTTGGTCTACTTGTTCCAGACTCTCTTTGTGTAAGAAATACCTCTTGGTTTTAGCTTTAAATCCACTTCCCTGTAGTTTCTGCTTGTGTTCACTGGTTGGTGTTTCCTTCTAGATTGTGCAAATAATTCCAAGGGGTTGACTTTGTAATGTCTTTTCTGAATTTTGAATGGTTAACTCTGTATTTGCATAGTCATTTCTGTTCATGACTGAGGTGATTTAAATAATTAAATCCATTTAAACCCAGGAAGATATCTTCTCTGGACTTGATTGTACCATAATAATAAAATGACCATCTTATAGTACAAACATCCTTTTTGGAACTGAAACATGAGGTTAACATAAAAAAAAACAAAATTGACATTGTTGCATGCTTATGTACCTTATATATTTAATATGACTATTGCAGATAAAAAAATATTTTCTTGTAAAACTTGTAAAACCTGTAGACCTTACAAAACTGCTTATTCTATTACCTTTTTTTTTTTAGAAAATCAAGGCTTATAAGGAAAAATGTGGATATTTACACATTTTGTTTTGTTTTTCAAAAAAGACTGGAATAATAAGACTGAATAAAACACTGGATTTATCATTAAGTAAGGAAATAAGATGTAAAGGTTTTTTTTAAGAGACAGGTACAAAAAGAAGTAACTTGTAGCAGTACCCACACAGTGGGTGGTTTCTTTTTGTTTTGGTTATTGAAAAGACATGCCTGGAGATTAATCCATAACCTAAAATAATAACAATTGGCCTACACAAAAACTGTCAAAATCCTTTTGTTCTAGGAATTTTGATGGAAATAGCCATTGAAAACGTTCCACTGACAACTTCATGCATTTACACCAGAGGGCAGTGCAAGCTAGGCAAACAAGATGTCTGCACTGAGTCCCAGCTCCTGAATTCACTGTTTTTTCAATAAACATTTTAATTGTGTATATATAAATGAAAGATTATTAAGAACAAGAAATAAATATACTGTAGATGTCCTTCAACATATGAGAAGAATTGAATATGAATAAGGTGATGTTTATATCTTTCCCCAAAATTGCTCTTACCTTCTGGAATGTTCATATTGTTAAATACACTTGATATGTAATCCTTCCAGTTTTCTAATGATATAAAACATTATACTGTATTTTCAGACAATACAGATAGATGGATGAAGAATGGAAAGCATGTTGGCTGAATATGCAAACTAAACTTCATTTAAAAGTTCCCATTTTACTGGATCTGTACAACGTTACACCTTACCATTTAAGTCTATCCTTTTTAAACTCATTTCATTTTGTGAAGAAATAATAGAATTATCTTTCTAGTAGGCAGGCTGGTAATGTTGCTGTGTTAATATATTCATGTATTTATTTAATATCTTGAGCTTTCTCTCTGTTGATGTTACTGTTGAGACTGGAAACTATTAGGCCTGAAAATTTCTGCTTAGAAAAACTAAAACAAAATTGTATTGAATGCATGTAAGGCCTGTTACCTGCTGCATTCATTATAGTACAAGAAAGAGGACAAAAGATTGAGTGACAACTTAATCTATGATTAACTAATCATCACATTACTTTTAATAACAGATTATCCAACTCAGGGTCATGGTCTATCCTGGAAAGCACTGGGCAGGATACACCACGTACAGGATGCCAGTCCAGTGCAGGACATACACATAAACATGCACACACTCACACCAGCATCGATTTTACAGAAGTCAATTCATCTACCAGTATGTCTTTGAACTGTGGGAGGACATCCATGCAAGCATGGAGAGAAAATACAAACTCCCAAGAACTGAACCTAGGGGCCCCAGCGCTGTAATGCTAACCTTTATACCACTGCACCACCCACCATTAACTTATATTAATATTAATAAAAAATAATGAGTCAGTGCACTTTTTTAATTTAGTTATGTTTGATGTTCTGTTTTGTTAATATGATGTAGTCCTACCATTTTTATTTAGTTACAGTATGTATGAAGAACTAATGAACAACAGCTGAGTCATTCGACATTAACACTATTGAAAGCAGATGAAATATTTAATCTCAGCAAGGCATATAAGTCCCAGCTTTTGTGATGTGGAGTCCAAACATGAAATGTATCTTGGTGTATGAATAGTTGCTGTGCTGTGAATAGTTAGTTTCAGAGACTCAAAATGAAAGCCAGTTATTATACAAAAACGTAAGCAATTGAAAAGAGAAATCAATTCTGCTTTAGAAGGCAGAGGGAACTTCTTTTCCATCTGGAAATTTAACAGCTAAATATTTTTTAAACTTTGAATCCTTAAGCAACAGAGTACTAACAAATTCTACAAGTAACACAGATCTTACCTCAATTTATAAGATTATTTACATTGGAAATATCATTTTATGCCCTACAAAGTTCTCCAGAAAGAGATGTACTGTAAATTTTCATTGCTCCTCTTCCTGGGGTGCAGTCTTTTAGTACATACTTATCAGCGACCTTCAATATTTGACCTGATTGTGCTTGATTATTTGCTAACTGCACTACTCACTATATTAGAAGAATCAGACCTTTGAGATGGTAATGTCTGGTTGAGTTTACATGGAATGACCCCACTGCTTTTAGCAGTTCACCAAAAAGTGGTCAGCAGTCTCCCAGTATTAGGCCCTGCTCCTGAGCTCACTTCTCAGTTTAAGTGTCTTATTACTTGATCCATTTCTCAGTACAATTATTGCACTTTAACATAGTGAATTATCTTACCGAATTTTCTCCTATACTGCATTGTAGGACAAATGCTGCAAGACATAAAGTTAAAAAGAGACTAAATTCAGATTTCAGGGATAATGCTAGATATTACTGACAGAACACCATTTTATTCAATGTTGAATTCATTTGCTGTGCAGTTAGTACTTTCTTCCTACAAGGGTTCCAAAAGTGTTTCATTTCTTGTTGCTGGTAGCAGTAGCTTGGTAGACTGTCTAGGTTTTCACATCAAAGAAAACACAATATGAAAATTGTAAGAACAAAGCTAAACAAAAGCCTCAAAGATATTAGGTCTCTTTATTGCTTGTGTATTTGGTGACCACGTCTCATTAAAATGATTTTATATATACTCTAAATTTATATAGTTTCATAAAATGTTTCTCACACAACACCACCCCAGAGTTCCGTTGTGAGTGTGGTTTAAGAGAGAAACTTAAGTGGCCTGTTGCTGTTAGCAGGCAGTTTGTGGATTTTGATGGGGGCGGCAGTCTAAGTCCCGCCTGGCTGCTGTCAGCTGAGTTTGACTCTATTACTTAACTCAATCAGCACAGAGCACCGCAGAATGACTAAACGACTAAAGCTCTATAAAACTGTACCCTACCCAGAAAGTTTTAATCATTTTTTAAAGAGATGGAAGGGCAGGATGTGAATGTTGTCATTGATGATTCATGATCCAAATTAA